ACTTAGATGTGGTAGTAAAAGTTGTGTTCTCTGAGAATGAGGATACCCACACCCCACAAAATACCAAGGGCAGTGTTGGGGGGGTGGGGATTGCTGGGAGTTGAAGTCCACTCATCTTAAAGTGGCCAAGTTTGGACAACACTGCTTTAAAGGAAACAGCAATGGCGAAGGGAGGGGCGGAGGGTCCCGATCGCGCAGGCTCGGCGAAGCAGCGGTGGAGGCTGCAACAAAATGTTGTCGTTCGGAACGCGTGTATCCCATCCCCCTCCATCCATCCATCCATCTTCCCCCTTTCACCGGGCTGTTGCAGGGGGGTTTCCCTGAGTTTCCCTCCCCTCCCTTAGACAAACGACGGGGTTTCCCCAAGGCTGCCGCTATTTCCCTTTTGTGCGCGTGGGGATGATATTCCGTGGGCTACCCCAAAGGCCCAGCCTTTCTCTCCGGGCTCTGGAAACAGAGAAAAGGGGACGAAAGCAACGGCCCGAGACCTCAGCAGCTATGACCAGGGAGGGGGTGACGGCCAAATGCATTTTCTTGCATTCTCCCTTTTCCTAGATTTCCGCAACGCTGCGCAGCCTCTCACCCTGCACCTTGGACCATTCAGCGCGGCCGTGCCCGAAATTGGGGGGAATCGACACGTTACAGGCAAACGTGTCGTGGGAACACAGCCACGCTCTCGCGGTACTGGCAGCAGATCGCGGGGCGTCGAGGGCAGGTAGAAAGTTGGCAAGTGTTCGGCGGGACATGTGAGCCGAATTAAAACCCCTCCATCACGATCCTTTCCTTCTTCCTTGGCCAGGTCGCTATGTAACGGCCCCGCGTGCACATACGTGTAAATATATTTCCCCCAAGATGATTCAGCTGGAGCTAGGGAAAAAAAAGAAAAGCTGGGGAACTCCTGTTGTGTTGACCTCTTCGCCCACAGACACACCCACGCACCGTTTCTCCGTTTTGATTGGCTCCCTTTCCCTTCAGCTGGCTTCCCATTGGTTCCCAATTTCCGCCCCTTTAAAAACTTTGAGCAACTTCCTCAACTTTGTTTCTTCTTGTTTCGGCGGCTTTTACGGTGATCTACCTCCGTGTAGTCAAGAAAGTTAAACGCTGAGCTTCTAGGTGAGTTTTGCGGGGCGGCAGACGAGGCGGCGTATTGCGGAGTTTATTGCTTTGTATCTTGGCTTGTTGCACGCATTCTCACGCACTCCCACGATCCCTTGGCCGCGGATCGTGGTGTGCTGCCGCGAGGGAAAAGATGCGGCGATTGCGGTGCGGTGTTTTATAAGAAGGCCTTAATTCTGCCATCTTATCTGAGAATTAAACTGCATGGATCGGTTTCAGTCCGTCCTGTTCCTCTTCTTTTAAAAGCAGTTTGACACGTAATGGAAGCACAACCAGGGGACGCTTTCGAGATACGGTTTAATAGGCAGTTCTTAAAGGCAGAATTACCGGGCTCATTTTCGAAGTTGGCACATTCTGCAGGGGAAAAGGGCACGGAAGGCGAGGAAGGAGGAAACTGATCGGTTGGACTTAATTCTTTAGGGATGTATTTTTTGTCCAGTTCTTCCTTTTTCTTTGATGATGAAAAAAAAAACCCTATAGTTTAATGGAATGCATTCATTTTACAGATGCTCCTTTTCCTGAAATGCCAGATATTCCTCCGCAGCACATTGTATTGGGAACCCCCAGGAAAGTTACACTAGAAGAAGAAAAATAACCAGAATTTCTTCCCTTATGCTTTTTCAAAGAGAGAAGATCATACCTGTGGCTTCATTCTAAAATAACAGTGGGAAAATAATAAGAACCTTTTTTGAAAAGACACTGCAAAGTTTATTTGTGTTTGAATGTTTGTGCATCCTTTCACTTTTCATATGTTCAGAACCCAGTCCTGCCCTGCTTCTGTATCATTTAGATTGGGCCTATTTTTCTAGGGTTTTTTTGGGGGGGGGGGCTATTTGAGAGAATTCCCTAAATTTTACCCTTACTTTAATGTTTTAGATTTAGTGCGACTTATGTCGGAGTAAATAGAACAGAACCGCTATATTGCAGTCACCAACCAGAATAGTATGTAGTTTTATAATCGGTTTCACACAGCTCCAATGAAAATGCAATAAATAAATACATCTGATTAAATTAGGGGGGAAATGAAATGGAGAAAGAGAATGCAGTCATACTTTATTACAGCCAAGGGCCAGGAATGTTAAACACTAGTAAAGATGATGAAATAGAACACTAGTAAAAATAGTAAGAACACTAGTAAAGATGGGGAATAAAACAAAAAATCACAAGAGTGCTAAAAGATTAAATATCTAAGACTAAATCACTAAATTATAAAACTAGTTTGCAAAAATGTTCTGTTATAAAATAGAATAATGTAAAATAACACTAATAAATAACATAGACAAATTCACACCATGTGTTTCTAATCAGATTGAACAATGATTGTCATGATTCATCATCATCTGTTTCCTAATATTACAAGCTGTGAAACAAAAGTTGGCAACTTTTAGAGATGATGTCATTCTTATGATCTATGAGACAAAATGAAATCTAGGATTTGCTGGTTTCAGCAGGGAATTCATTTAGAAGTGGTGTGAAATGCAGGTTAACAGGTTTTATCATAGAATTGGCATCATAGCACATAAAAGAGATTGGGGTAGAAGAGGCGAATCCTAAGCTAGTTGCAGGTATATTTCAACTGCTTCCTAACCAGCCTTACAATGGGGCAAAAAAGTATTTAGTCAGCCACCAATTGTGCAAGTTCTCCCACTTAAAAAGATGAGAGAGGCCTGTAATTTTCATCATAGGTATACCTCAACTATGAGAGA